CCAGCAACTCTATCTTTCATAAGCAATAGAAAACACAATATAGGAGCAGAAGACTTGTCACTTGAAAACAGTATTAAACAGTTGTGGCAAAACACCAAGATTTTATGCAAAGCAACACAAGAATTTGGATTAAAGTAACAAAAATGACATGCAAACTGCTTGAGAACTCTTTTATAGAGTCACATAATCAAGGTGCACTACCAGTAAAGGGCAGGCCAATGCACGAAATATCCCACAACCCACGTTTACGCAAGGTCCAGGAAAAGTGCTGCACCCCAATGGGATGTAGTGTAGGCTGCCTATCCTAACGCAAGCACCACTGTTTGAACCCGTGACCTATAGGTCACACAGAGACAACTTTACCGTTGTTCCGAGGCTCCAAGTTGCACAGACAGTATGAGAAAAAAATCTATTTAAGGAGAACATGAACCACAGAGGACAAAGAGGATGTACCTATACTCCTTATTATTTATCCCATAGGAGGCAGGCTCCATCTGCAGTTTCGTGGTGGTGCTTCCGTAACTTATTCCATCTGAATTAGCAACGGAATATAATGGCATATTTTGGAAGCTTCCACTGCTATTGCTTTGGAAACTTCCACTTCTATTGCTGCTCCCAGTAGCAGTGTGTGATATATTTGTCGACAAGAACTGGGAAGTAGTTTGAGATTCCACAGGCTTTCTTGAACGGTTGCGGCCTCGATGCATGTGTCGTTCACAATATTTGGAGTCAGGATGTGCATCTTTGGAGCACCTCCACTTCTTTCCATCTGTCCTTCTACATCTTCCTGGCTCGGGGTCAAACTTCTTCCCATAATAGGAACAATAACCCACTGCACATGTAAAATACATTACCACATTTACATTACAAACCCATCATTCACCAACTAAAAAGAAAGACCTTTATCATGCAAAATGCATTTTTTCTTTTTTAGGATCACGTACGGCCAGAATTTATTGATATTGCATCCAGTATCATGGAATTTCAATAGCTACACTGCCATCAAAATTCTATGAGACTGGAATTTCTGCAACAGACATTGACATTTAAGCACAACCTTAACAGAGTACTACATGAGGGAGACATTGAAATTTAATACAGATGTAAAACTATGAAATTATGTGTAAAAGAAAAAAAGAGAAGCAAAAACATGCCAACCATGGATTTACTGCCATAATGAAACACAAGGCTTTAGCCCACCAGATGTCACGAGAGTGGATATATGTTAAAAGTAAGCGCTTGGCCAAAAAAAAAAAACTATTTATATATGTAAATGACATTTTTATAGAATAGTACAATTTCAAATCAAATATCAAATCCACATGACAGAAACTATTGGATTTAGGACATTGATAAAGGCTAGTAGCCTTTTAGATAAGGTCGGGTTCGAATCACAAAACCCGGGGTGTTCTCTTTTCCCCCTTTAAATGAGACAATGTTACTTTCGCACAGCATCTTTTTAGGAAGTGAGCATGGATCATTTTGTAATCCTGTGTTGTATAATCTTGTTTATTTATATAAATCATTAAAGATTGATGTATTTTAATAATTAAAATAACAAAACATAAGAAATTGAGAACTTTGAAGCAAATTATGAAACTTGAAAATGTGTAAAGATTTAAAATTTTACAGTAAATAGTTAAATTCGTTAAGTTATTTGTGCGTCGTGTTTATACACATTTGACTAGTTGCACTAAAATATAAATTTGTAAATAACTCTGTCAAATTAAACATATCTTGGCTCTCTGCTTTGCTGTTGGCCTGTCATCAGTCATTGAACCCGCTTGTGCAATACCAAAATAGATTCATCTAACAAATATATATTATTTTTTTTATAACCGAGAAATCCGTCTGTGACCCGCCCTTTGGACCAATCTAACAAATATTTTTTAGAAACAAAGAAAATAAAATTGTTTTTTCCTATAACAGAGAAACCCACGAGGGACGCACGGTTGAAACTAGATGGATAGTGAGCCCGGCCCTCTATCCTTCTCAACTTAAATACCAAGCATTTGTACAGCAAGGTTCGATCCAGTGATGAGCACCTAAGCCACAAGTCATCACGTGTTGCGCCCTTACCACTACACAACAGGGCTAATAAGATGAATCATGAATGTTTCTAGCACTGATAAAAATACTTTTAAAAGCAAATCCATAATATACTTCCAACCAAGATCTTAGAATCAAAATATAGGGATGCAGTTCTTTATTATACTGCCTTAACAAATCTAAAGTTCCTTTTCTTTTTAAAGCAAGGATTAATAGAGAAAAGGAATGAAATACAATGTTCATCGATCTGCATGCTCCAATTTAACCATCAAATTATGGTAAACTTCCCCACTCTCATAAATGCAAACACTATAAAGAGCTCAACTATAATAAACTAAAATTAACAAACCATAAGAAAAAAGAACAATGATTTCCCTGAGGGTAGTGTCGGCCAGTTCGAAACTAGGTGGATAGCCTCCTCTATCCTTATCCTTCACCACTTAAATCCTAAGCTTTTGTACGTAAGGTTCGATCCCGTGATGAGCACCTAAGTCACACATCATGCATTTGCACTCTTACCTCTAGACAGCCGCGCTAAAAGGATGAATGCTTCTAGCTCTTATAGAAATACTTCTAAAAATGAATGGATAGTATTCTTCCATCCAAGATTTTAGAATAAAAAACAAAGGGATGGCAGTTCATTATTTTTTCTTAATCTTTAAAGGTAATACTCCCTCTGTTCCCTTTTGTTTGTCTTTCCATTTTAGTCCGTTCAATAAAAAACGTATCTTTCCCCTCTTGGCAACTCTTTAGTTTCAACTTTCCATTTAAGACCACAACATTAAAAATCATTTCGGTACATTATATATATCTTTAATGCAATACCACAAGATTCAACAGTCTATTTTAGTTTCTTAAACTTCATGGTAAGTCAAAACCAGATTAACAAATTGAAAAGGAGAGACTACTAGAAAAAAGCCATGAGAAACAATGTTCCTAGATCTGCATGCTCGAATTTCACCATCAAATTACATTAACCTTTCCATTCACAAAACACCATAAAATGCTCTATAACTACAACAAATCAACCAATTAACAAACAAACAAACAAACCAAAAAAAAACTTTAAACTGAAAAAAAAAATAAAGAGAAAAAGAAGAAGAAACTTACAGCTAGGATGATTGAAGAACCTGGCTGAGATAGCATCAAAACTCCGGCGAATAGGTACTACTAGGTCCGGTGGCACAGGTAGCCCGGCTACTAAATACTTATAAATCATAGCTTGATGCTCCAATTCCTGCCACTGCACCGCTGTAAACGGTGGCCGGAATCCATAATCATTATACCCCACCTCCCCTCCACCTCCCACCAACCCCACCCCCACCACTGATGTCGTTGAGGTCCCACTCATCTCCTCCAAGAACCAAAAAAAGACTTCACCTTTTTGCTTAATTTACACACCCTTTTCCCTTTTCTTCCAAAAGCTGCACCCAAAAATGAGAACAAACATCAGTTAATATACAAACATATTGTAAATGCTCAAACAGAAAGACAAAAAATAATCAAGAAAAGCATTTTTTTTGTGTTTCTTGAGTGTGGGGGTGGGGGTAGAGGGGTTAAGGGGAGTAGAGGTTGTTGGGGTTACCCAAAAGGGGGACAGATCTAGGGTTTTGGATAAACCTGCAAGAAGAACAGAGAGAAAAAAAAAAAGTGAAGAAAGAAAGAAGAGTGTACTAGTACTTGTTAATGGGTTTTTTGATTAAGTAGTGATTAATGACTCTAATCAAATGGAGATATGAAGGTTACCATTGTGTATTAGCAATGGAAGAATGGTGGGTTTAAGTTAATGAAGAGTGTTTTATGAGTGCTGAGGTTAAGGGAAGCATTGGGACATGGGAATGAGGATGTAGGGGTTGAGGTTTGAGGGGACCTTGGGGTATGGGGGGCCATGTCTTTTGTTTTTGTAGTGGTCCAATTGATGCAATGCAAACATATCTTCTCCTTTTTATTATCTTTCAAAAAAAAAATTAAAATTTAAAATGTTCATATGATTGTATTTTGTTTTTCAAAGGGTAGTGATAAAGTTAATTTTGTTATGAAATAACAAGACTTATATCAAAGAGGAGGAAGAGAGAAATTTTTTATTTTTATTTTGGTTACAAAATGAATTGAGTTGGCTTCTTATTTGTTAAAAGAATCGAAGCAATTTACAAAGTTACTTACAAGTTGTTTGCAAAGCTTCTTATAAGGAGTTAACTTACAAAGTTGTTTGTTGAAACCTACTTGCAAACTTGCTTGTAGAAAACTACTTATAAGTCACTTGAAAAAATCTGCTTACAAAGTTACTCGTAAGATATTTTTAAACTTCTTCACGAAATTGCAAGAGTATTGTTCAACATACTTTGACTAATTCTACAAAGTATAATGTTTATAAAAAATTAAGACATGAAGAAAAGTCACCTAACATGTTTTTGTCTCCATTAAAATCGAATATCAACAATATAAAATTAATACAAAGAATACAAGAGACTTTATGGTGGTTGATTCATATACTAATATGATGATGTACTATTTAATATTTAATTTATTAAATAGTTTATATAGTGGGTGAAAGAGTTGTGGTACTTTTCAAACAGAAACACCTTAACACAATAAGTTAACTAAAATATATCCTCAAAAAGCAATTCAAAAAAGATAAAGACACTCAATCAATATCAAGAAGAATTCTTCTTGCCTTTACATTACAAATCTTAAAATAAAAAATATTCTAAAGTTTCTTTCATCATTTTCTCCTATTCAAAGCGTTAATTATATTTATATCCTAAAGGTGGAAGAAATGAATACAAAAATATAATAACCAATTATGAAGTTATATTTGAAAACTCAAAAAGATGGAAATATTAAATAAAATTTTACTTACAATTTCATATTCGGAGAATTTTCATCTTGATGACAATTTACATATTTTTCAATAAAAGAAGATGAATATGCATGAAATAATAAAGAATACAAATACATGATATATGATATGATGATATGAGGTTTATCTAATCTGAGCCAAGTTAAAAAATGGCTCTAGCTTTCTCTTTAGCACAGGCATTGTCTCTTTAGGATTCCCAAAAACATTCCATAATCTTAGTGTCTCATCAGCTGCTGCAGTCGCGACGGTATAGCCATCTGGGCTCTGAAATATATCAAGACGAAAAGTCAGTGAACTGTAAAAGCACCGTGAAAATACGAGCATAAACGAACAAAACGTGACAGTTTCAGTTAACCAATCATACCTGAGCCATATAAAGAACTCTTGATGTGTGACCCAAAAGTTCTGAAATTTTCGTCATAGAAGGATATTTCCAAACAGTGAGCTGGTTGTCAGTAAAGCCATGAGAACTCAAAAGCTCGCGATCATGTCTGTTCCAAAGCAAGGAACAGACTTGTGAACCTGTATTGACAGAGTTCAAGCATGCCCCCGTATTGGTGTTCCAAAACTTTATGCATTGATCTCCAACGCCACCACCTGAGGCGACCATATTACTCTGGAAAGGACACCAGGAAAGAGCTTTTACAGCAGCTGTGTGATCTGTCATACGGTGAACCCACTGGTGTGTAGTGTTAGCAGACCCCATCGATATGCTCCATATATGGACCAAATTGTCGTTCCCTCCACTAGCCAATTGCTGGCCTGAAGCAGACCACTTCAATCCACATATCTCCTGATTGTGTCCCCTGTATGTTCCAACTATGTGGGATCTTATACGCAAGTCATTGTTGATGATCAAACTGTCCATGCCCCCAGTTGTCAGTATGTTTTCATTCCAATCAAGTGAGCCAACCCTTAAGCTGTGTCCTCGTAAAGTCCTCATCTGTGTATAAAGGCAAGATGTTAGACTTCTGATAAAGAAAGTAAAATATAAGCTCTCTGCATATTTTGATTTCCACGTAAATTGTTGTATAATAATTAGACTAGAAGAAGGAAGACGAAAGAACCTACTCACCAATCGGCTAGATCCCTGCAAGGTGTTCCACAGCTGAATGTGCGAATTATTCAAGCCCACTGCAAGGTGTCTTCCATCTGGTGACCAGCTGACAGCAGTCACCGGCCCAAAGTCATCATCAACCGTGAGAAGCTCAGTAGCAGACCCATCAGAAGCATCCCACAGATAGACAGAATTTCCTAAGGCAATGGCAAGTACGTTATTGCTTCCCCAGTCTAACAAATTGAGATAAAAATCATCTAGGATGTCAGGAGCATCCAGGGTCCTCTCCGAAGACTGTTAACAAGCAAGGAGTTCTCTGAGTTAGGAACAAACGCCAAGATGAAACATCTATTTACACTAATACAATAAGTATGGTTAGCACGGGGAGACGCAAAAACAAAAAGATAGTAAAAAGGGGAAGAAAGAAAAACTCACTTGGGGAATGTATCTCCTCTTTTTAATGGTTTTTGACTGTTGTATAGATGATGGAGATTCAGAAACTCTCTCAGCTGAATGTGGAGGCTTATTCTTAAAAGCAAGGATCCTCGTTCTATTCATGTTGAAAATTTCTGCTAACTGCTTCGAGTAAGCTTCTTTAGATGGAGAATTTACTCCATAGTGTTCCTTTTTAACCTTCCCACCACTGAGCATGTAATGTGCATAGTCAAAATCCATCGCAGAACGATTGGGTATAAACCTGTCCAGCTGCATTTTCATAAACATATCATTTAAAATCCAACCTTGCAACAAATCTCATATAATGAATATCAAAGCATAACTCAACACTGACACTCTAAAACAACGAAAACAATCATTAGAACAGGATGACGTGACACAAAGAGCTGACATCCATACATGTTAAAACACCTAGTCAAAAATTTTCTCTAGTTTGATTAATGAAAGCTCAAAAAAGTAAAATCGCAGCCTTTTACCTATCTTCCCTGTTTCAATTTCCTAAGTTTGATTGACATATCACGAATAAATTTTCAACAGCTTATTCACCTAACCTCTTTCTCTTAATAACAACAACAACATACCCAGTGCAACCTCTTTCTCTTAATAAAGAAGTAAAACCATCAACAAAATTCGATACCCGAAAGTAGAAGTCATCAGTTAACCACATCCACCATACCATTTAGCACACATAACAGATCAAACGACATTATATTCATAATTAAGATTGCATAGTGGAAAACCCCAATTTGCAAAATTTAAGCGAAAAATCAAAACCCACACAAACAAAAATTCAAAAGGAAACACTAATCTACTTCAAATTCAAGAGCCCAGAATCTACCTATCTATCAATCAATCATCATTTACACCTCAATTCGTCTCGACTATGAAAACCCCCATTTTTCAAAATCTAAACAAAACGCAAAACCCACAAAACCCTCATACAAAATTAAAAAAAGAGACGCTAATTCATCGCAATTCATAATTTTATCAATTAATCACACCTCAATTTGGCTCGACTATAAGAATCCACTAAAACCCAGTCCAAGAAATTACTACACAGAATGAAGAAAAACAGTAAATGAAAAAAAAAAACGTACATTCTCTCGAGTTCTTTTCTTGTGAGACATCTGATTAACGAGAGGAGGTCGAAACTTATTGTATCTGCTCCCTGCATCCATAGATACAGAAGAAGAGAATTACTCTATCAAATACAAAACGGCAAAGTTGCGAAACAACAACAGAGAGAAACCAATTAACAGTGTTAATAATGGTGGCGGCGTCTTTAGTAGATCAATATGAGAATTTCTTGATAAAGAGCGTCAATGGCGTATTGAATTTCTTCAGCGTCAATGGGGATTTTTTTTTTTTCTTTCTAAAAGTGTTAAAACTGTAACGGCTATATATATACATTTCGGAGTCGGGTCATTGGACCGGGTTCTAATTCGGGTCAGTTTTGTGATCCGGATCTATTGGTGGGAAAGAGATGCTATTTGATTATTTTTTTTCATAAGTAAGTTTCTAATTACTTATTTTCTAGTGTTTGTAAGTACACGGAAAAAAATATTTCAAGAATGTTTATATGTAATCTAGTAAAAAGCTGTGAGAGTGGGGGTTCGAGGGTGGTGGAGAGTAGGACGATGGTCAAGACACGTGAAGGGTGGAGAGGAAACAATGAACTTGAAAAATCACTTATGAAATATTATTCGAGTTTGGTATATATATTAGAGTCTGATTAAATTTAGATTCACACCAGAATGTCCCACGTCGGGGGTAAAACGCTCTCTAGCAAAGATGACTTCGTAGTTAGGGTACTCGAACCTGAGGGCTGAGATATTTGGTTAAGGATGAATGAGTACTTATCACTCCACCACAACCACACCCTATCCCGATCAAGTGCAGTAATTTTAATTTTTGACCAATCAAACAAGAAAAAATTGAAATGCCATATTAGAAGTTCATAACCAACCAATTTAATCTTAATATTCATATAAAGGGTAATGCTAATGCCCAGAAAATTTGGCCAGAAATTTAAAAAATTTATAATATCTTTTTTATTTTAAAATAAACTGATTTTTTTTCATTTTTTAATTAAATGGTATTAAAGTTTAAAGGGTAAAAATATTCAAAAAGCTAAAATAACATAGGTAAAATATCATTCTGGCCAAAAGGATTTTTCCTCAAATAAATATCATAAAGCATACGAGATAGATAAACTATAGCATAAACTCTGAAAATTCTAAATTATTCATTGCGTAGCTTTTCCAAATTATTCATGCCCTCCTCAAAAAATTCACAAGAAATTAAAGGACACATATCATATTTATCCTTATTTTAATTTCTTTTAATTTATAGGTAATATTTTGGATTATTGTTTTTTTGCTTTGTGGATTCGCTTGATAAATTACCCGTACATATTAAATATAAATAATACCTTAACTCAAATATAAAGTTTGACTCAAAATCAGTTTGTTCTATCGAATTCATATAACTATTGACTCCGTTCTTGGAAAGCTGACACATGTAACTTAAGAGTCACATCAGCGAGCAAAAAAGGCAAAGAATAAAATAATAAAATTCGTTCTCACTTTGTTAAAGAAGAAAAACAAAGAATTTTAACATTGATTTTTTTTTTTTAAAAAAAAAATACAAACAAACTTGTTATTGAATCTAGTGGCCATAGTGTTTCTCATATTATTCACCAACCATTTTCCCGGTAATTTAATGGCACAAATGTTTCTACTTCACACCTCTTCCTTCTCTATACCTATACATACATATTTATTATATTTCACACATGCATGTATGTGGTTACGTTGGTTATGTTCTTGGGAGCTCGTATTCGAGTTTCAATTACTCATGAAAATATAATGAATATGGTTGCATAGTAATGTTATTCGAGTAAGTATTTGATTTCACTCTGAGTTTTTCTTGGACGATTGCTTGAAATGATAATGTATAGAAGGAGAGAAATATGAGAGATTTTGAAGCAAACGCGAGCTTAATTTTTTTTCAACATATGAAGAATTAATAGCCTCGTGTTTTAATACATAAACAAGCTAAGGAAATGTATGGAAGATCGAGTTTTCTTTTTTTTTTGGCGTTTGAAATACTAAAAGTATAATGGATATCGTTGTGTAATGTTAATTATTCGAGTAAGTATTTTACTCTGAGCTTCTTTTTTTTGTGATTTTTTGAAAAGATAATGTATGTTCGCTATTAGATAGTATGGAGGGAGAGAAATATGAGAGATTTTGAAGCGAACAAGCTTAATTTTCTTACATATAAAGAATTAATAGCCTAAAATTATGACTTCCAATAGATTCTCTGCTTTTTTTGTATACCAAAATTTCCTAAAATTACAATTTACTTCATATTAAAAAACTTGTGTGTTTGAATTAGATATAGTATACACCTACTGTTATACTAGGGATAAATATAAGCCATTTTCATAACGATATATCAGCTCTAAATGACAAAGTTGAGAGGTATATAAGACCTTTTTTCCCTATATGAAGATAAATAGAAGACTTTTTTTTTAAGCGATAGAGCTTAATTTTTTACATATGAAGCATATATAGCCTCATGTTTTTTGTATTCGTTTCATGACGTTACTATCTGTATATAAGATTGGGTGTCTTTTGTATATCTTTCAAGAGATTCTCTGCTTTTTTGTATACCTCTTATACATGAGTTTTCTTATCAATGAAATTACACTTCACTTGATAAAATTAATAATTGTATGTTCGTAATGGTGTAGTATAGTTCGTGAATTGTGAGGATCAAAAGAGCATATTATTAGAGACGTAAGAAGGAAAAAGGTAAAAACCATGTCGAAGGTGGTGCACGAGGGATGGATGGTGAGGTATGGGAGGAGGAAGATAGGAAAATCATTCCTTCATATGCGTTATTTCGTTCTGGAGACTAAGTTGTTGGCCTATTTCAAGACGAAACCTCAGGGAAATGTGGTGAGTTCAATTTACAATGCATTTCAGTTTTTTTGTTTGTTTGTCTAATTTATATGTACGAATGTGAATTTGATAGTTAAGTCGTGCTTAAAATGTTCTAGCTTTCGAAGAATACCAGAATTTGAAGCTAATGTGTTCAGGATTCTAATTTTGTAAAGTTAGTTGGTTCTAAATGATTAATTTCGTACATATTCAATGAATTTCATCAGACAAATACAAAATTTGGACTAAAACTACTAAGTTCAACCAAACACTAGCTCCGCGTGCCCTTGCGTGCACGACTGATGAAAAAATGATACTATGTTAGTAATTTTAAAGGCTTTTAACTTATGATGTTACAATAATTGCTAGGCGCCAATCAAGACTCTTGAAATCGATGGTAATTTTCGAGTGGAGGATCGAGGCTTGAAGACTCATCATGGACAGGTGAGTTGTTCTTATTGTTGATATTTGATATCTTGTGTAAATCTATAAGCTTGATGAACATTCATATAACATGTTTTTTCTGTTTAGTAATTGATGTTATGTACACTTTACAATCTGCAGATGGTTTACGTTCTATCGGTCTATAACATGAAAGAGAAGCATGATCAAATCACGGTACACGATCTTCTTTAGTCCTTCTTATCTGTTCTCTTGCCCCAAAGATTTGATTCACAGTGCATTGGTCTTAATTCACAACTAAACATTCCAACTCGTCCATACTGTGTCTCGTGAACACCCAAACACTGAAGTGAAACATAAGTTTTGGAGGTGTCTAAATAATCATTTTTGTAAGTTAGAGTGTTCATATGACACAATGGAGACGAGTTGAGGTGTCTAGATGTACACTCTCAAAGTGTGCTTACTTGTCAGCTGAGGCCATAGCCATGTTAGTTTTGAGACTTTTGTATATAAAAGGACAGGAAAAACAAATTTGTCTGGAGGCTTCCCCATCAAATCGATATAATTTATCACGTACAAAGAAAAATGAAAAAAAAGAAGAAGATAGATATATGACGCGAGAGACACTTCCGCGTAGTTTCTGGAATGTAACTACAAAATTTTCAACAAGTTCAAGTTTTTTTTAAAGATTTGGCAATATAAATGTGAATTTCATTGGCTGGACCAAGAACTAGTTCCCATTTTGGGAGATTAACATACATTTGGATATATTATTTTGGCAAACATTTAGTGTTTGGTGAATTTAGTATCAAGTGAGAATAATTCTGGTTATATACATTGTTATATATAGAAGATGTTGTATCGACTTAACCTCTTCTTCGTGTGTTTACTTCTTTATATTTTTTAAATCAATCATCGCTCTGCCACTTGAGACTGTGGTTTGCTGCCTGCTCTGAGTTTCTTGTTTTGTGAGAGAGAAATTATTCATGTTAATCATAATGTTCTTCCAGATGGCAGCTTTCAACATTCAGGAAGCACTAATTTGGAAAGAAAAAATCGAATCCGTGATTGATCAGGTTTTTGTTTCCTTATTTCTTGGTATTCTCTTCTTCCCTCATCGTACGTAGATGCTGATGGTAATAGTAACATGTTGACTTCTATGCAGCATCAAGAGTCAGTAGGTGGTAGTCGTACCAAATTCAACGAATTCAAATCTGGGACGGAGAGTACTGGGAGGACGGCTTCAGATCAGGAAAGCCCGTAAGCACTTGTTCTCTGTTTAGCTCTGTATCCGTAATTCCCTTTTTGATACTTGCATGATTTTTGAAATCTTGACTAGCAATTCTTAGACTAGTGACGAGCGCAAAACACACTATAGATTAAACGTTTTTCTAGTCAAAGATAGTATAGTGTAGTTATCATCTCCACTGGATTTTAAAATGATGACTCCAAATGCCACAAATACATTGTTTGAACAAAAGCTACTTAGTTACCTATTCGTGGGCTTCTAACTCCGCCCCTGACCATAAGTTGTAGCTATTACCTCTATAGTCTAAACTTCATAGTGCAAGTCACCCTATTTTGTAGGTTCAGTGCTGCTGAGGATGAAGATGAATCTCAACAAAACGTGCTACGAGGAACAACAATCGCAAATGGTTTGCTAATTTCCCTTGTGCTTATTTGATTTCTATACATGTTTTTTAAGTTTCCTTATTTCTTCTTCAGCGATAGCTCCTCCGGAGTCTGTGGTTGACTGGACAAAGGAATCAGAGTCAGATTTAGCAAACCCCAAGTATAGGCGCTTACTTTACTGCCAAAATGGTCTGTCTAATTCTCAATTCTTCTTTTCGTTTCCTCCGTGATAGCAATTGGTTGGATTTTAAGCTGTAGAATATGCGATTACGGACATTTTCCTGGACTAGTATTGATGACATTTCTCCACTTAATGGGTGGCTGCAGGGCTTCGCATTTTCGAGGAGCTACTCAATGTTGATTTACTAGTATGAGCTCA